CCTGGGCAAGGGGCCGATCCTGCGATTGGAGGGTGATGGGGGTCAACGCCTGAGGGCTCCCAGTATGTGAGAGGGGGCAGGCTGGGCTGAGGGACACTCCCCCCCCCCGCACGAATTTCATGCACCGGGCCCCTAGTATATAATATTGTGTCATCTGCAAATACTGACAGTTTTACTTTTTACTTTTTTATTTGGATGTCTTTTATTTCCTTTTCTTACCTAATTGCTCTGGCTAGGACTTCAAATACTATGTTGAATGAAAGTCGCCAGAGTGGGCATCCTTGTCCTGATCATTAAAAATAATGTATCAATATTAGTTCATTCTTTGTAGCAAATGTACCATACTAATGTAAGATGTTAATAATAGGGGAAACTGGGTGCCGGGTATATGGGAACTCTCTGTACTATCCTCTCCAATTTCCTGTAAATCTGAAAGTGTTATAAAAATTAAAGTCTATTAGATTTCTATAAAATTACAATCATGATTTTTAAACCCAATTTTGTTCACAGAAAATGCAGCTATGAGTTTTTATACACATGCACCGCAGAGAGACGTTTTTAGTATTTGGAAAGTGGCGTCTGGGCTGGCTCTTCCTAAGCCCTCAGGCAGTGGGGTCAGTCTGGGGCTTCGTGAGCCTGCAGAACAGGATGGGCTTTCAGGACACAAGCGACCTCAGACCAACCCCTGGAACCTCTCCTCCGATCTGCCACCTTCCTTAACGGGCTCCTGTGCTTTCCAGAAGCTGAGAATTTTCTGACCAGGAAAGGCGCACCCAGGCCTCTGGATGTGGATAGTTACTAGTTGGGCACAGACGGCCCCATATTTGGGTACAGACAGTTACCTGGGAACGTGTAAAGTTCCATCCCAAGTTTGTTATTTCAGAGCTGGCCGTTGAACATTAAAAGATTCCATTGACTTGGGGTAATTTTATTTTCTATCTCCCAGGAAAAACTGTCAATGATTTACATTGTTCAGCCTTGGGTTATCTAATAACTCTGGATTTTCTGCTCTGAGGAAGGAGACTAGGAAAGGGACTTGGGGGCGGTAGAGGTGGCTCTGCCTGGGCTCCGGAGGGCACCTTCCTGAGGACTAGGTAGAAACCAGGTGGAGGGAGAGCTGGCCTGCAGTGCTGAGATGCGGGATTCCCCCTCCTCCAAGGGGATTACTGCTCTCACAGATGACCAGGTAAAGTGAGGCTAGAAACCCCTGACAGCTACGGGGCAGGACTCTGCATCCCACACCGGCAGGGATTTATTTATTTTTATTTTTAGTTTTTTAAGAATGTGCTTGTTTGCCTTTAAAAAGAACGGAAAATGCTTGGAGCATTGTGGGTAATTCATACCAGCCTGGAATATTTGTAAATATCTTTCCTTGGAGAGATTTAAACAGGAAGCCTGGAAAGTCTGTTTCCCCAACACATTGCACTCATGTTTGAATTCTGCTCCTGAGGAAAAGCAAAAGATACACTGATTTTCGATCTTATTTGAGGTGCTGCCCCAAACCATCCAAGTTGCCCCGGAAGGAGGCACCACACCAAGGCCCTGCTTACCTGTGTGGAATGACAGGGGCAGAGTTCTCACCCGCGGGAGGAAGGCCACCTCCTCTGTGTGGTCCTCCCTCCTTAACCTTCACATTGACCCCCAGACCATCCCATAATGCTCGGGCCACTTTGAAACCCGGGGGTGCTTCGGGAGGCTTTTTCACTGCCTTCGTGGAAAATGCCAGGGCACAAAGCCATAACTAAATGCCCCCAAAGGAGCTACAGAGCCTCGTTTTAGCCTCTCATTTTTCATTTAAGACTTGCCTTGTTGGCCTGCTTTGTATATACTGTACATATGATATTCGGATTGTACTTCTCCCTCTTCCTGATTCCGTAATAAGCCTCTGAATTCACCCTCTGAATTCACGTAGGTGGTGGGTGAGTCAGACCTACCATTTTGTGGAGCTGTCGGGTGGGGGTGTGGAGGAGGTGGACTGGGTCTGAGAGGGTGTGTGTGTAGAATCCTCAGGGTTAGTGGGGGCGGGGACGGCAGGGTGGGTGGCAAGGCAGACCCGGGCAGACAACCAGGAATGGACGAACTGGTCGCAAAGGCTTCTCTTTCTCCCCTGCCTTTCCCCAGGTGCGAACATGTTTTATAGGACACTGAGCAGCACTAGGCGAAGTTGTGGTTTCTCCTCATTGTTCGTGTGATTTCCAGACATGACGGTCCTTCTCCTGGCAGGCTGAGCTATCTTCCCTCATTGATTCTTGGACTGAATCAATTTCTATGTTTAAAAAGAATTTTAACAGAAAGAGGAAAAATAGAAACTTGTGAAAAAAAATCTGCATGTGGAGATGATGCTCATCTGGGGAAATGCTTTGTTTCCATATGAAGTTAAGTCAAAGAGTCTGAGGGCATGCAAGGACAGGACAGTTTGCCTCTTCTTTCTCCTCCCTTCTCTTCTCCTCCCCTCCCCTTCCCTTCCTGACCTTCTTTCCCTCTCCTCTTCTCTCCTCTCCTCTCCTCTCCTCTGTTCATTTGAAAGAACTGGATGATTGCCCATCCAGACAAAGCTGGCTCAGGGAAGGAAAGCTCAGCGAGGAAGCAGTGTGAGGAGACTGGAAATAGCAAGAATCTGACACACTTTGGTTTCCAGCCCTTAATTTGGGAGAGGAAGAAACCATTTTCCTGCTCCTGGCTCAGATCTGGGTGGAAGGGAGTGCCATTCGCCCCTCTGGCTCTTGGGTGGCCTGGACAGGAGTCCGTGAGCTGTCTTGCCATATGGCAGCTGGCAGGAGCCTGCGCCCCTCTGCAGGAACACAGGCCCATACTGTTAAGGATTAGGTGGAACATATGCATGTAAGATGCTTATGACTTTTTCCAGACACAGGGCCACTTTCCAGCCTGAGAAACAGCTCAGAGGAACCGGAGGAACCGGGGTAATTAGATAGAGCCTCATGCTGGCAGGGACGGAAAGCTAAGTGCTCAACTGAACCTGCATGCTTTAATCGCCTTCCCTTCATCTGCCTTCCCTCTTCTCACCCTTTTTTCTTTTTCTTTATTCTCCTTCTACTCCCTATTCACCCTTTTCTTTCTTTATTTGTTCTCAACTTCTTTTCCTTTTCTTCTACTTTTTGCTCTCCTCTCTTCCCTTCTTTTTCTCCCTACTTTCTTTTACTTTCATCATGACACTCCCCATGCTTCTTCATGTTTATCACCATTTCTTTTTCTTGACTCATTTGTCAGCTGCAATGGATTTCGAGTCTCATGGAGACAAATGCAAGCTGTGTCATTGAAAACCATGCATGCCTTCATATGGCTGCGGAGAGGCGGGGTGTGAGGACACAGCGGTTCTGAGTGCCTGCCTTGAGTCCTGCTCTGAATTTTTCTAACAGCCTAGCTGAGCAGCAGGAGGGCTTCTGCTTTCCATATGGGAGACAGGCCTCAGACAGCGTCTTGCACAGCAAGCTGGAGTGCAGGGTTCAACTCAATTCTGTCTAACTCCAAGTGTCCCTTGCTTTATACAGTCTTTAGGACAGTGGATAAAGTGGCCACAAATGTTGGGTGACAGACGTGTTTGTGGTTCAATTTAAACACCGAAAGCAACATTCTCCAACTTTGCGTGTACCAGGGTCACCTGCTGTTTTCAATTCAAATGGGGGCAGGGCCCAAGAACCATACTCCAAGAACCACTAGTCTGAAAGGCATTGCTTTTGTTAAAAAGTTTAAAAAATATATATTTTATTGATTTTTCACAGAGAGGGAGAGGGATAGAGAGTTAGAAACATCGATGCGAGAGGAACATCAATCAGCTGCCTCCTGCACACCTCCTACCGGGGATGTGCCCGCAACCAAGGTACATGCCCTTGGCCGGAACCGAACCTGGGACCCTTCAGTCTGCAGGCCGACGCTCTATCCATTGAGCCAAACCAGTCAGGGCTGAAAGGCAATGCTTTTAGAATTAGGTGGCTGGTCAGAACTTAATCTCAGGTGGCAGGAAACATTTTCTAAACCCTGATGTGAGTGCAGGGGACCTGTCTCATTTCACAAAGGATTTGAGATTGCCTTGTGAAAGTACTCAGAATATAAAAATGATATAAAAAAAGAGTTAAAGTCAAGTGAAGGGAAAACAAAGATAGGAGTTTGGTACTGAGGAGACACAAGGAAGCTGATAGACAGGGACTGGGACCATGGGTGGCGGGGAGAGGAGGAAGTGAAACTGGGAGCCCAGCTTGGAGGACTTACTAAGGCACCCCAACTGGGCGGGGAAAGAAGTGCATACACGAAAGACATGAGCTTTAAAAATTGTGTGAATGTTGCTAAGACAGGCAGCTCGCAGATAAACAATCACAAGGTAGTAAGATATATAAACCAATCCCAAGGATGTTATTAAGACAAAATTCTTTGAAGGGACCAGTCAGGAACCAACAAGCATATATACAGAAAGTGCGCACTTCCTTTTTCTCCCCTGTGCACTAGATTTTTGGGTTAATGGTAGGAGATGAGCTCCCCTGTGCCCATGTGGCTTATGGCCACGTGGGCCTCCACACATGGACTATTAGACTTTAATTAGCTTGGGTACTGAACTACTCCAGACTGTAACAAGGAAAGGAAGCTGCGCTTCCCCAGGACTGGTTTCTCTCAGTAAACTTCGCCTCCGTTAACCGTTTCTTGTCTACAACATCATTCTTCAATTTCTCGAGACAACAGACAAGTTTCAGTAGAAATAGTTAGAATCCAATAAGAATAATTTCCTCTCTGTAGGAAGAGCTATATGGGCTTCTCTTTATTTTCTTGGTTGACTGTGTCCTATTTTCATTTGAGAAGAGCACCCTTGAATTCTATCCATAGAATAAAATTCTCCTTTTCCTAAACTGCCTTGCAGAGAATGTCTTTTTTACTCAGACAAGTTAGAAAGTATGAGCTGATTGATTGTTATCTTTTTATAAACTGTAAAAATGGGCAAAATGGCTGTTGTGTAAGATGTATTAATTGAGCAACTGCATTTATTGGATATCTCTCGCTTGTCAGAGAAATGAAACCTAAGAAATACAATAGAGAGGCATACAGGAAAGCTGAAGTAGGATTCCTACCCAAGCCACTTACAACTTAGTTTGAAGAAAAGGATGTGCCTATAAAACAGTGAGGAAATAATTATGTCCTTTAATAGAGTTCAAAGATTCTAAATACAGCAGTTCACAAAAAGGAAAGGTCAGAGTAAGTTAATATAAGCACAAAAGAGTTCAAAGATTTAAATTTGATAAAGAGGAAAGAAAAAGTTGAGAACATTTTGAAGAGTTTTACCATAATTTAGATGTAGAAGTTACTATACCTTTGTATAAACAAAACACCCCAACAGCTATCTGACCCATAAAATAGCTGTGCACGGTGGAAAAGAGAACCGTGTTTGCCATCAGAAATGCATTGGTGGTAGATTTGCCACTTACTACTGTGTGACCTTGTGCCAGTTATTGGACCTCTTAAAAAAAAAATATATATATATATATTTTTATTGATTTCAGAGAGGAAGCGAGAGAGATAGAAACATCAATGATGAGGGAGAATCATTGATTTGCTGCCTCCTGCATGCCCCTTACTGGGGATCAAGCCCACAACCAGGACATGTGCCCTTGACTGGAATTGAACTCGGGACCCTTCAGTTCACAGGCCAATGCTCTATCCACTGAGCCAAACCAGTTAGGGCTCATTTGACCTCTTTAAGTCTTGGTTTCTGCAAAAATAAAATGGGATTTTCAGTATCTATCTGTATCAACTGAGCTTTAGTCAGGAAAACAAACCAGTATCTGAAGCAAAAATAAGGCGTTTAACCTGGGAATTAGTTGCTTAAAAGCCCAGGGAGGACTGGGAGAACAGAGCTTTCTGATGGCTGGAGCAGCTGTGAGTGAGGAAGCTGCTGCTTCCACCCAGAGGTCCAGAAGCAGGGCTGGCGGGCAGGGCGAGCCCGGTGCTCCGGCTCCAGCAAGCGCGCACTTTTATGAGAGCCTGCGTGTGGCGGCTGCTGCCACCTGAGGAAGAACACTTCCAGTCCCCCTTTGCCACCAGATCTAACAAGGGCATCACAGTGTAGAAATGAAACCGGGCCCCCGGAGGAAGGGAGTTGAGGAAGTGCAGTTCCCAGGCTGCTAGCCCTGAGAACTCAGGAAAGGCCTGGAAGGGAGAAGAGATGAGAATAAATGCCAGCAG